CAGAATATATATAGCCATAATAATCTGCAATTATTGTAATAAATGATACTCCTCTACGATGCAATCGGAGAGTAAAAACGCAACTTCTTGGACGAGAAGGGGATGCGCAAAAGTACCGTAGTGTTACGTAATGCTTAAACGCGTTATTCTCCTTTTTCCTTTTCACGCTCAATTATACAAGTAGCTTTCCTCAATAACAATCCGTCGTGAATAAATCATGCTCTCTTCCTCTCCTTGGTTTAATCGTTTTCGTAAACAACAAATCGCAAACTACAATATATTTAATCGTTCCTGGTATGTGTGCACGTTGAGCGCGGGAAGGGAATCACGAGAAAGAAAGAAAGGCGGTTGATAATCGCGAAAGAAGAAGTCGGTCTCTTGAAATTTCCAGCCGCTCGCTAGCCACGATTTTCTTATGCACTCGATCGATTAAAAATTGAACTTATCTTGAAATATCGGGTCCCGTGGAAACAATGGGATCGTTTGCGATAAAGTAGCGATTGAACGAAGATTATGTATAGATGTCACGATTTGGCAGTAAATCGACCGATATTTTCCAAACAATCTGAATGCCCTGTATAGTTCTCAATCACTTTTCCCAGAGTACTACTCTTCCGATGTGGTCCACGTCTTCTTTCTTTTTCTTAATGATGAGTAAGGCTGCGTTACGGCAAACGATTCGGGCCCGATGTTTCATCAAATATAGATATATGACACCTAGTAAAATTTCTTCTTACGTGACAAAATATGAACGGAGAAACGTGTCGCTTCTTAAAAATTCATCTTCGCGGTGCTCGTTCGATCTTTCTTTTACTGTGCGTCCAATTCGTTCGGCAAACTATGAAAGATCTCGCCCCTTCGGTTTCTTATGCTCTCTCGAATACAAAATAAAAAGCGAACAGAAATTTGATCGGTTTCGATTCGACGTTCTTAATGCACAACAAGAAACTGAAAAATGTTCACGCGTCATTCGTTGTATTATAAAGCATATTCATCACCGTCGCCGTATCTCTTTAGTAATTGATGGTGCCACGCGATTCTCTTATTCTGACGAAACAGCCTCTGTCCTTCGGTCCTCTCGACTTACTTCGTTTCAAATACCATCGTTGATCAAACATCTTCAATCCATTCGCATCATTTTCTTTTCATTTTAAATAATAGGTATACTATATAATGTATATATAGATATATTTATATGTATACATATATACTTTGTATATAATCGTCGCATTTTAGTATAGTACGACCTATCTATGTATAAGTAGGCATTAAGACTGAGGCGAGAATAAAGGCGAAACCCCGAACAGTTGTTCGCGTGTTACATTCCTTTCAAAATAAAACAAAGCCAAAAGAAAGTGATTTTTCTCGATTTTACATCAATTCTAAATATTGAAACAAAAGAGACATCGTTTGCTTTTTATATACAAATTTCCATCGCGAGCCGAAAGTCATGAGCGAAATCGAAAGTAATTCAAGATTTTCGATTACCGAAATATGCTCATAATAATTCGATTTTTAGTAAGATCTTTAAGTTTACGAGTTTCCATTTGTTTGATTCACTTTGTCGAATTGTAAAAAAGATGTTCTTATGGGTATTTCGTATTTCTTTGTGTTTCTCGCTTTCTCCTCCTTGTACCTCAACATCAGCGAATAGAAAAACGCGTGTTTAGAACGTGACCAGCACGTTCACGGATCTGCCATTTCTTTTTTAAGGCCCGTTCATCGATGGTTTACGTAAACTCGCATTCAACAATACTAGAATCCAAGATCTGTCTACGCGTTACAGAGGAAAGGCTTGGAACGGCGAGGGTAGAACTTCGTTCGATTAAAAACGATCATCCTTACTCATCCGCTTTCAAGCCTTTCCCCTTTATACACATTTCCCTATACACAGACGCGCGTAACTAGATACATAGGAAAACCGATTTTTACTTCTGAAGCTCGGCAGAAAAGTCGTTACGAACGGTCAACGAATTCCACGATTCAAGTCTGTTCATTTAATCGATAAAAATAAATAACGAAGAGTTTATCGTTCGTTTCTCTACGGTACTCAATGCGTTTGCACTACGTTCGGAAACAGGAACACAGTCTTTGAATCCACGGTGACAAAATATGACGGCGCGGCGATTTCCTTGATTGATCTCGCAGTCGGCGAAGAAAAATTTGCCCAATTTTCTACGATCGTCCGCGTGCACATCTCGTGATTCTTTTAAGTCGACATCGAGTGTGTTTAGTCGCGTTTAGTAGATAATAGCTCTACGATGACGGTGTGTAACGTTCTGGAAATCACAGGACAAATCAGCTTCTAAATTCGGATGGGCAGTGTAAGCTCTGCGAGGTGCTTCTCCAACGTTTTAAAGCGGCTACGAGCTCGGTTCATCAACGTTTCCGCTTTGCGTTCTCAATTTTAGATAGATACTGCTTACACCAAACTGTTCTACCTTTACCCCCTTTTGATTTCTCTTTATTTCACACATTCAACCTCTGATAAACTGGCGAACATCGGACCGATTCTAATGTGCTGTTTGACTGTTCGCCACGTTGAAGTGGGATTTCCGGATAGGCGTCACACCGCTGCGATTTCTACTCCGTCCATCATTAATACAAGTGTCTAACGCTTCGAGCGTCCAACTCTGACGAGTGCAGTATAAATCACAAAATGCAGTGACGCGTATAGAAATTTTACGTATTTAATAACTGTTTTTCATTCTCATAAAAATGGGTGTTCATCGATTAACAAGAAACAAAAGCAACAATGTGAAATTCGCCAAAAAACTTTTAGTCCACTCCTACTTAACAGCAACGAGTAAATATACATATTATCACAATAGTCACACTGATGCAATTTAACTCTGAACGCGAATCAAAGCAAACAGATCGGTGTAAACAGAGGTAACGTTTTCCCGTTTCTAAACTCATCGTCAGTCGGGGTTTAAGGAAAGGAAGAGTTTAGGGTAGAAGGGAGAAGACGGAGGTCCGTGAATCTCGTAGAGAGAAAAAAAATAAAATAAAACTCGAAACGCAGCCAATCCTTGTCTAATCTCATACTTCGAGAATAGCTCGATCGACGATGAATTTTTAATCAGCTTATCTTTCATGCCATCGAGATTTAATCGCGATTGTCACTGATGTTATGCGAAAAGAAGGAAAAGAGAATATATAGGCCGCACTGTTGAAAATTTCGATCAAACATCGGGAAAATAGAGGAAAGTATATAAATGGAGCTAATGAAAGACTTTAGTATCGATTCTCGATGCAATCAAGATCATTTTGATTATTTAGTATTTTCTTTTTAAATCTCATTTAACGACTAAAGAATCGTCATCGATCAGCCATCGTTCAGTCGTTTCATCGAGTCTTTCTTGTCAGTCCGCATTTCACCATCTTTAATTTCTTTTTATCGTACGATATTTTTTTGTTCATTTTTTCGCCGTTAGCGCTTTTTCTTTATTATTTAGAGTATCGTTTATCATTATTAATCATTATCATTATACTGCTTCACTACGGTTGGTTGACTCTTGGACGTGGATCTGGATGGAGTGTGGTGTACCGGTATATCAAATGCGCGTGAGAGAGAGATAAAGCTCCGTCGCTTGATTCTTTTTAGATTTTCCTCATCCTTATTACGTTTCCTTCCATCGTCCTCGAAGTGAGAACAAGGGCCCTCTTCTCCGGTGTGAGCAAGAAAACTGCTTCGGTTTAAATATCATTTTTTGTTTCACCTCCTCGTTCCCTAGTGTTTATCTTCTTCGCCAGAGAGGGAATCCTTCCGTTATTCTTTCTCCTTTGTTGCTCCTGTCAAACTTATTCCTGCTCCTGTGTAACTTACAGGTCAGCTCATTATCGCCACGATGACCCTCGTTATCGAGCGTCGAGCCTGACCGACTTTTTTCTCTTCTTCATTTCAATTCGCTCGAAAGAGGAACGTACGAATGAGTTTATCATGTATAACAAATTAGACGGAATATACCGCATGGAACGGGAAGGTAGGCGTCCTGGCCCTTTCACCGTTTCGACTAGAAAGTCTCTTCTCGTTACTCATCATAGCTCCGTATGTTCGATGCATCTTCGACTAGCACCAAAATTGTATGTTTCGAATCCAAGCGACGCGTGAAAGCGTCGTGATTCTCGCGCGAAACTCGAAGGAATATCTTTTCGATTATCCGGCACGCGCGAATTTCTTGCTCGTCTCTTTTTTCTCAACTTGTTCCTGGGTCATCCTCCATGGAAAAGTTGTGACTCACGTGTGAAAAAAACACTACGCCTCACTACAGTAATTCGTTTCGCTTCCAGGTGTAAATTCTGTTTGCCGGGATGTTCAACCGTTCTCAGAGAAATTTATTTTTATATACTTTTTCAGAGTGTTGGGGATAAAATCAAAAGCTTACGAAGCACGAGAGATGCTGAAGAACATCTCGTATATAAGGGTAATTTTATAACACTGTTAAAGAAGACTGCAACGGCATAACTGATGATTTGTGTAAGTTTCTGTTAGAACGGTCGAGATTTTACGCGGAAATGGAATAGATGTCTGTTTCCAACCCGACAAACGTACAGAGGAAGTTACACGGTATTTGAAAAGAAAACGAACTTTCCCGCTGTACCATCGACCATCAAACGGATCTATCGTGCACGATTCAATTTTCAATGTTTGGCTCGAATCAACAAGAAATTAATGATCGTTATGTAAAGATCCGCAGAGTCGATACCGTGCGCGCGATCAACAAGTTTGTTTCGCGAGGTGCGACATCCATTAATTGCTGTATACATTCATATCAGTGTATACGTACATAATTGTCTTCCGTATATAGACTTATATAAAACGCACGAAGCGGTTGAAAGGCTATTTGCATCCTTTTTTACCTTCATTATTTATAGCGATAAGCCGTACCTTGTCTCTTCACGATTCGATTCGCTTATTTTACTCGAATTATCAATATTTTTATCAATGGAAAAAGAATTCGGGCTTAACTACGGCGGATCCCCCGAGATCACTTGAAATATCCTAAAAACTTACTGACTCGCGTGAGTTCGTCTAGGTGCGTGTCTTTTCTACGTGTCTTTTTGTCTGTGTACTTCTGATGTATGTGTCTATGCCAGTGTAGTCGAGCATTCGAGCAGATGTTTCACGCCTTCTCAATCATTCCTTCGTTACGACTTCACGATCATTTCTTACGGATAGATCGATGTTCTTTATGAAACAAGAATCCTCGTTTATGTACGTGTACCGTGTATAGACTTTTGCGTATGTTTGTATTCATTACAGAATGTATCCTCCGAATGATTCCCCGAGTTTCAACGAGACTGACGCGTTGCCCGCCCGCACCGTCTTCGTTCTCCTCGTTCTCGCCTTACGAAATACGTGCTTTCAGCTTCCGTATAATAAAAAGCTCCTCTGCTCTCGTTAAAGCTGATTCGTTGATATCGACGCGTAGCATCACTTCGATTCTCAATCCGTCTGATAATAGTCTGAAGAATGTAGGAAAGCACCCAAATCTTGTACCCTGCTTGTCATTTTTCCTCATTGCAACGAATGCACTCGAACGAACGCAAGAAAACACCCGAACCCCTTCAAACGGACGTTTGCCACGCAATAACGTAAGACGATAACGTAAGGAATCTGCTAAATCTTTCTCGCTCCCCGCGAATGAAACAGCGAGGAACGAGAAGACGAACCACGAAAGGAGTTTTCACAGGAACCTCGTCGAATTGTTTCTTTTCATCTCCGTTCTCTCCTCTACCCTCTTTCCTCATTTGCTTGGTTCTCCGTTTTCAAGGACGTCGCTACTTTATTTTATCCCGTCTCTCTAGTTCTCCGAGCCGTTGCCCTTTCCCCAGAACTTGTCGAAGCGATTTCGCGCTTTCTCTAACACCTCGCTCGCCGCGGAACGTTGCGCCGAGCCAGGAACCACCGTCGGTGCTTCAAGCACGTGGTAACCAGCCCCGCTACTGACTCCGCCTACACCACCGCCTGTAGTGCCACCCTGGGGTGAGTCAGCTTCCAAAATACGATAGCCCGGCTGCGGAGCCGTCGACGACGACGACGACGACGATGCGGGTAACGGCGCCGCAGCTGTTGTCGTTGGCTGGCTATCTTCCTTTTTCCTATCGTACTCGAAACCTGGATCCTCCAAGCAGCGCAGATTCGTTCCTGCCACGGGTTTTATCGAAGGTTCCGAAGGTTTCTGCGGGTCCTTCGTTTCCTCCTTCGTGCCTCCCGATTCCTGTAATTCATAGATTTTCATTCGAATATTTATACATATATTATTGTATCAGGGATAAGAATGTTTGTATAAAATATTAATTATAGTACGTTTTAAATTCTCACCTTATCACCCTGCGTTGGGGTACTGGCAGTCTGGACGTTCGTTGGCAAAGGACTATCCCTTTCCGAATCCATATCTTTGTGTCCGTTCAAGCCGCTAAAACTACCTAAAGAGACGCTCTCGCTCTCCGGCGATTTGTAACCGGAGTGTTGCGAGTGTTGCGATTTGTGTTGGGCCGCTAGTTCGGGCGGTGCGGATTGCGGGGCCGATGGTACGGACGAGGGTGCCCAGCTCTTCGCCTCACTATGCGGACGCGTCAGGGGCTCTTGAAAATACAAGCGAATTAAGTTAAAAAGTAATATGTGAACCAATCGTTCATAGGAAAACGTTTTATATCTGCCATGTCAGAAGTGCTACTGTGATATTTTTACAAAAATCACTTAAACACGGTATTAAGTTGGTAAATAGTATAAATAATGACAATATTAGCGGAATGAATGTAATTGCATTATTCTTTTGTATACCTTCTCTGACGTTTTGAGTGACAGTGAACGTTTTCCCGGTGTCCAGAGGCACTGTCCAGTTGACCGGCTCCGGTGAGCGCATGATCATTTGCTCGGGCGACTTTACCCTGGTTGGTTCCGGCGGACTCTTCACCACCGGCTCGTCGTCGATCCACGGACTTACGGCTGTTGCGGAAACCGGTGGCTGAGTCTGCGACGGCGGCGTCGACGCGACGCTGGAATCTCCTCCAGTCACGTCCCCGTTTACCTGCGGCTCTGCCGTCACTGGAACGTTTCACCGAACCTTTTAGCGACGAAATATATGTCGCTCCCCATTTCTTGCCCGAGGTCGGGCCGGGCGGGATGCGCAATTTGCACTCGATGCTTCGAGTTCTCGCGGACTCTTTGTCCTAACGATCTCATTGCACTTTGATCACAATTACGTACGCAGCGTTAATCCCTTACTTTCCAGTTACAGACGAATTTCTATTTCGAATTATTCTTTAATGTTAAGGATATAAAATTCACGTGTTTCAATTTGATTTCCATAGAAGACTGCATGTTATGAATTGACAAAACGCATTGATTCTCATCGATTTTTAGGATCTTCAGATATGTGAAAGAGGAAACAAAATTTTGAACAACGTTCTTAACGAGTATTTCGGAAACTAGGACCGACCGGCAATTTTTTTCAAGGGAAAAGTTGTTCAAAACGTTCATCTCTATAACACACATATGTAAAGATTTTCAAAATCGGTGAGAATTCACCTAAGATTGTTTACTTGAAAAAATAGAATTTATAACGATCGATCTTTAATTTATTCCTGTGACAAAATTTAGCGTATTTCTCATGTTGGTATCAAAGGTGAAAGTAAAAAAAAAGCATTGATCGAGTCATCGAGCGCACCGGTTGGAAACCGGTCGGTTTGCGGTTACGCGCGAGAGATCTACACAGAGAGAGCATCCCAGTAAAAAGTACACTAGCGTACTCAGACAGAATGCAGGAAGAGGCACACATTTATGTATACAGAATACACATAGATAGACAGACAGACAGATATAAAGAGAGATGTATACGTAAGTGTGGACAGAATACAGTACTATATAGATCTTGTGTGTCGGTACATAGAAATACGTAATGTGTGCGGCAGCGTTTGCACGGCCACGCAACAGGTTGACGAAAGGGCTCTGGCTCAAACATACACAGGCTCTATTGTTTCTCTCTCTACCGCGAAAACGTTTACCCGATTGCACGTCGCGCGTCGACCGGCTCGTGGAGGCACGAGGTGTTTAATCGCCTCCCTACTTTCTCCCTTAATCGACGAAAAGCTCCGTAATCCTGCGTGCGAGCGATCAAAGACAACAGCCAGAAGAGAAATCACGCGTCGTTTGATGAGTACATACAATCGTAAGCGCAATTCAAGTATGAACGGAACGACGTTTTGTGCGTTCTCTGGATGGATGATTGTTTTAACAATCGTCAGACACATTCACGTTCGATAAGCACATTACAAATGTGTTTCTTCGTGCGAACAGGATGCACAGTCGTTTTAGAATAAAGTATGGCATGACCCAATTAAACTGAAATTTTTAGATTCTCGGTAAGTCTGAATATAAAATTTGAACTTCGGGTAGCGGACCCAATTCTATGGATACAATACGATATTAACACATTTCAATTCGATGCTTGAGTCATGTATGTGTAAACAGTATTATAAATTAAGAAGAATACCCGAACGTGAAATTTTAAATTCGGGATTCTAAAAATTTCAATTCATTACGATGAATTGGTCGTAACGTACTACAGTTCGGTTTTACATAATTGCTGGAAACATGTTTGTTTCTTTGGACAAATAGCCGTTTCAGAATTGGAATCTCACTTACGTTCGACTTGTCAACTTCCTCGCGTAGGTTTCACTCGCACCTCTTTATTTTTCCCGAGTGTGTGGATGTATTATGCGAAGAAGCGATATTAATGCCAAGCCTGGCTACGCGTGAACGCACGAGTTCAGCGAGACTCGCGATGAAAATGGCTCGATCCGACGCGACGCAGCCGAATGGACGTTACGGAAAGAAGAACAGTAGAGTACCTACATAGATATTTCTAAAAGACGGAGTCGCATGAATCGGGTGAAAACGCGACCGAGCCTATTTGAACGTGTGTAATCTGAAACATGAAAGCGTGACGAGAATGGTGCTGCATACAGAGAGAACCGGGCGTTCTATTTCGCGCGAAAGAGAAAATATGAACACAGACGATGTTGCAGTCTTGTCGGGGGCCATCTTGTTCTAAAAGAACGCGGCGGGGCTTGGTAAGATATGTATGAAAAATAATAGAGAAGAAAAGAAACGAAGAGAATGGAAAACTTCCGATAAATGGAAAAAATAGAACAAAAAAATGTTAGGTACATGGATTTGAATTGCTTCGAAGTGAATACAAGACAGAGAGACGGGAAAAGAGAATAAAATAGATGGAAGAAGAGAAGATAGAAGATATGTCGAGGAGAAGTTATCGAATGTTCATCAAGTTCCTTGATCAAACAATCATTGGTGTAACTTTATCTTAATTTGCTAACAAATTAGTTTTACACATATTATATTCACAATCATATTATAACAGTGTAACCGAGGAACTGATTTAAATTCGTCAACGTTCCCCATATTTGGATAGTAACAACAACAAGAACAACACCATTACCAACAGCAAAGACGACAACCAACGGAAACACGGAAAGCGTTGTCTTGTTCGTACAAAGTTGTGCATCGAGCAAAGAACGGAGAAGAAAAACGCAGGCCGTTTATCATGCTACTTACTAGATTGTATGGCGTTAGCGGCTTGGTTTGACGCGTATCGACTATCGGAGGATGATTTGGATGGATCGGCCGCAGCCGCAGCTGTCTGGTCGCGGCCCGTTTTTGCCTGTGCCTCGTTCGGGCCTTGTTGGGACACTTGGGACCGGCTTATATCTTTAACACGGTCCGGCCTGGCCGCAGCGGCAGCGCTCGACGCAATTGGTGGGTGGTGATGGACACTCGTATGAACCGAATGCTTTACCGGGGCTTTTACGTTTGTACTTGTTGTCGTGTTTGTGGTTGTGGTGGTTGTGGCGGTAGTAATTGTGGTGGTAGTGGTCGAGGGTTTGGCGTGATGAAGAGGTCGATGGGGGGGAGCGGTGGTTGCGAGGAAGGCTAGAACATACGGTACACAAAGTACAATGATGAATAAAGCCCATCGTACCTTTCGAGGGAGCTTGCGCGCGATCACAACGCGAGCCGCATGCTTAAAAGTGTGACAACGCGTGCTGGAAGAATATGAACTGTCGAAGTTCTGTCTTTTTCCGTACACGGTTCACTTAAAATATTATTAACATTCACTTAGATGGGACGAGAAAACAAGCACGAAGTACGTAAAGAACAACGAAAATGTCCTTGATACATGGAAATCTTGGGTACACCTTTATCGAGGGTAGCTTCTTGACCAACAATGGAATAAATTTCATTGTATCATTGCGTTTGATACATCTTAATCGATCTTCGATCAAACGTAAATATCACACGTTTTAAGCAAAGGTGCGTTGCTTCTTATTGGAAGGGTTATTGAAGGCTGAATGGTCTCTTGGTGCTATTGAGCCCGCTCAGAATTACGTCTGCGTTAGAGAATATCGACGTTTCCTTCCGATTGCGTTTACAGTAGCCGTGTTTGCACGCAATCAATGTGCCGCGTCAGAATAAACAGAGTAGGGTCAATTCGTCCACGAAATTGCGGTACGCGATGATGCATTATGCATTCTTATATACGTGTATGTGTATGTACGTACCACGTACCCGAATGTTGTCCCGAAGACCGTCTAAAATTGAACCAGTGAAGTAAATTGATTGTGTGCAATCCCGAACACAGTACGCGCAGCATATTCGAGCACAGACGAAATCTTGAACAGTTCCGAAGGAATAAAAAAATAGATAAAAAGAGTAGACAAGTTTCGATCCATACGCAAATCGAAAATTAAATTTTTGCCCCAAAAGTGAACCACACATGATATAGGAAGAACAATCCCGATCGATGTCAACGATAATTGTACGAAATTTCTAGCCCTAACGATTTCTCTCTGAAGAAAAGGATTTGGACGCGCGGTTCAACCCTTTAACAGTTTACCGAGAGAAGGGGATTAGATAATACGCACGCTATAGAGGAGAAACAAAAAGAAAATGAATAAAGCAATTAGCAGCGATCGTTTCCATCAGCAACGAATCTATCCTAGACACTTATGACCATCTAAACTGTTTAAGGGTTAAAGAAGTGTATGTATAAAGGCGGATAGAAACGGAGTTCGTAGGGCCGATGGCGTGATCCATGGTGATCGGTGCAGGGTGAAAGATAAAGGTATTATTAATAGAGATATAATCTGAAAATACGTGAAAAAGTTGGGCTAGCGGGTAGAGCGGGTACGTGGTACAGAGAACGTACATTTCCGATGGACCTGCGGGGACCTCCTGTAGAACGGAGTAGGCCCTGGGCCCGAGGGTGGTGGCGGTAATGGCGGCACGCTGGTCGAACCCGTCGAGGAAACTGTCGACGGTTCCCGTATGCTCCAACGCACGCGGCCAGGGCCCGTGACTGAAACACCCGCTACCACTCCTGATCAATCCGATCCCCGATTGCTCGGTCACGGACGATCGCGCTCGTCGCATCGGGTACGATCGCGATCGATCGCGTGCGAGCAACTTTTCTTTATCTTTTAGCCTGACATAATGACTGTATAGAATTTACAGACGTAGAGGTGGATTTGGTGCAGGGAACACTTGTCAAGAAACTGTTTACCTCGATGCATTCAGTTGAATATAATGATCGAATTATTCGTTGTCGTTAAAACTAGTAAGAAATTATTGATACTCGCATATCGCTGAATTTAATCTTACGCGGAGAACCATGGGAAATATGGAAATTGATATGGAGGTTGACGATAAACAATTATCAATAATTCTTGATTAGTTTCGTAATTATGGAATACTCGAGCAGAGAAAGAGAAAATGGATATGAAACAGAGTGAAAGAGGATTTGCAGAGGATTAAATGAATATCTATACGTGGGGTCGCTTATTACAGTACATTTAGAATTTAATGCACCCAGCGTATTTCAACCAGAAGGATAATATCGAATTTCAGATTAACACCATCATGATTTTGAAATGATGAGGTGATTTGAGGAACTGATGCGGCTACGGTTGATATTACGAATGCTTGTTGCTCACCACATCGGCGTTAGATAGATGGATGGACGGATGAGACGAAATGACGATGACTATTTTTGGCTGACTATACGACCGCGTCGATGACGGAGGACGATGACGGTGAAGATTCGAACTGATGCGACTTGGTGATGGTTACGAGTAGTGAACGATAGGTAGACGTCGCGAAGTAGGATGAAAATTCATGGTGCTGGGTAGAGAGATACAATGAAAAGAATGTTATTGAACAATGCTAAAAGATATTAGCCTGACGATGATGATCGAGCACGTTGTAAAATAATACTGGGTTCTCTTCGTTAATAGTTGACGCAGAAAACAAAAGAAACGTTTAAAGGAAAGAAACGCCATTACTTTAGGAATTTTCGATTCATTCGACAACAAACGTTCTACTGATAAACAGGGAGGCGCGAATTTTCAGTTCGCTTCACGTAGGCTGTTCAGGGAAAAGTAAGGGATAAACAACAAGTCGCAAAATATTTTCTGCACGGACAATCGATTCAAAACTATGATAGCTACTGATTACTATAGATATGGGCTCAGAGGCAAAGACAGCGAGATAAGTAACGATTAAAACAGGATTATCATGCATCTGCCTAAACATTAACCACCACTTGACTGTTAACGTGTTTGACACACACCGCTCAGAGAATCTATCCGATTGAAAATTCATATTCCTTTATCGTTAAGTTTATTTAGTAAAAGAATCATGCTAAAAAAAATAAATGGAGTATTTTTAAAATTCCCATTACGTAGGAAACAATTTAACTTCGACGCGAACAAATAATTGAGAGTTAACAGGAATGAAAAGAAGCACAGTTCTCGATGCTCTTAGAAGCGGTGAATGTCTGGTACAACACGATTCGAAAACAGGGTATGTAATAATACGGTCAGGTATGACGGACGATATGGCTTTCAGGACCCACAAGAGCAAACAGCAGATCAAACTCGCATATAGTCAATAATAAAAGATTTCTATCCAATCAAAGTTCAATATGACGTAATGCACGACGATGCAAAAGAAAAAAGAACGGAACTCGTGACAGTACATTGTTACGAGCGCCAATCAATTCGGGGTACGATCTCTTGGATATAAATAATAATCGATCGATCTTTTCTATCGATACGAAATTAGATGACGAGAGGATGTATCGTCGGTATGTTCCTCTTTCGTGCTAAGTACTTACTCGGTCGTGGATGCCGTTCAGGCAGTTCTTTATCTTTTTCCTTCTCCTTGTCCTTCGATTCCTTCTCCTTCTCCTAAATAAATAGAAATCGATAATGTTCAATCAAATAGAGGAATCGGCGTTTTTTACATCTTTGAATCGGTGAAGATCTGTAAAAAAAGTTACCGCAAAATTATCCTTGACCTTTTTCAAGATCAAAAATTTTGAATATTATTTATAATTCGCTGATGTTTTGGCAGTAAATGTTGGAAGGTATCAGGTCTTCGAATTTTCAATTCTTCCACAGTCCTTTTATCCCCATGACGCGTAAAACACAATGCAATAAAAAAATTTTTGACCTTAAAATTTAAGGCCAAGGACAATTTTGTGGTAACTTTTTTTACAAATCTTCACCGATCCGAACATTTAGAATGCAGCCTGTGACTGCCAAAGCCAAGCATTTCTTTACACCCTGTACAACTGGTCCCGGACTTCCTTCAAAAATAATTTACGATTGAAAATATGGTTGAATAAATAATTATGTGCATACACACATATTTGTAAGTATACGAGATAAAAAAGATTTCGGTCCTGTGTTTATCTCCTTATATATCATAAGTAATTAACGTATATATAATTTTTGTAAAATCAGAATTGTGCAAATTACCTTCGCATCTTTGGTGACAGACGGTGCACGAGACGGTTGACGCTTAGGTGAACGACGTTCAGTCACGGTGGGACCGAGGCTTTGAGAGCGGCCAGTTCTGGGACTGTTCTTGGGACTGGATTTCGTTTTCGGTTGAATCTCTTCCCGATGCTCCTTTGTATCCTCTCGACGTCGTGGTATCACGGGCTCCAACTTCTCTCTCGTCGGAGAGGGAAGCAGTGCACCGTCTCCTATCGTAAAATATGTTCTTTGTTTTGTGCACGCACTGATTGTAAATTCTACGTTTTCAGTGAAAAACCTTGCAAGATAATACGTGACAAAAATTGATGAACTTACCCACGCCAGTAGTACGATCCAGATGATGACGAATCAAGAAATCCTTTCTTGCGCGAGCTATCGCTCTTTCGGTGTCCTATAAAACACCAAACATCTAATTATACCAATCTAATAAAATAGTGATTTACATACCGTTTTCGAATCGTCCTGCAGGATCCCGTGCATGGGTCTTGCCTGAACAGAGGACGGTCTTCCAGCTGGGGGCATGGTCACCGTGGTTGAAGGGGCGACTTTCCTCGTATTCTCTTTCTCTTTTTCTTCCTTTGTCACTGACCTAAATGTACAATCGTTCGTCACTTGGATGCTCTTTCCTTCAACTAGTCTTTCCGTGGGAAATTCAATCGCGTGGAAGAAATAAAAGGCAACTACGACGAAATCCGTGAGAAGATTCGTCCTTCTACAACTGCGTTTGACTCTTCTATTTCTCAGTATGTAGTAGAATATGTGAAAGGGTAGTTTGTGGGTACGAACGAAGGGTATTTTTCTTGATACGGAGTACTAATGCTTGCCGGATTATCAGTTGACGTCGACTCCTTAAGATTGAGAAAGGTGTCAGTAGAACGTGTTATGACTGATCAGACACGTTTAATGTATGGAATTACATATTTTGCTTTATATATTTGCTTATATGCAATACGGTATTTTAATGATCAACCACAATAGAATCCAGCATACAAGAGAAATATTGAACGAATCCTTTGATGGAGAGAGTAAACACGTCCGAAAATTTTCAGACATTGCCTAATCATGAATAACGACAATTAATTTTGGTAGAATTTTGAATTCCATTTTTCTTATTCGAGACACATTCTCCATTGTACAACGATCGCTTCATCCAAACCTTAATCGAACGAACACTATTTGCAAATAGTCAATTTGGATAGTGAAGCGATACAAACAATGAACAGATTGTTTTTTGCAGAGTGGAATAGTGTACTGGCCTGGCAAGAGACAGCGCGTTGAGAGCGTGGTTACTGGATACTTGTTTCCACAGCGAAGCCTCGTCCTCCGCTGCCAGACCGCAACCCCAGTCGCGATGCTAATGGTAGAATCAGAACGAAAGTCATACCGTTTACTTTCTCTTCTACACCTATGAACTAAACCAGAGGTGTGCAATCTTTTTTTGTGGAAACTCATTCTACCAAAATTCGTTCATAGTTGAACCGCGTTTTTCTGTTTCTTCTTCTCGGGCTTTAGGACTACCGCTGTCGAAGTTTGCCCACCCCTGAACTAAACTGTACACTCGTTCACAATTGTGCATACACAGAACATGCTTTGGAAGACATCGATCACTTAACAATTACTTGTTCTGTGTACAAATGATTTTGTATCGAGTTTGATTGATTGCGATGTTTCGGAAACGAGAATACATGCATGTTTACAATGAATGATCGAGTTCAGAGGTCGATCGCATCGAATCCTCGTGATGGATGATGATGATAATCGTTATGAAAAATGGTAAAACGAATACATGCACAGAATGGTACGAACTCGTGGTTCGAGAAAGTGTTTCACCAACACATAGAACGGCACACATCAAAGATACTGTAGACGATGAAACACACTCAAAAGACACTGAGACAAGGAGAGAAAGGGAATGTCCGATAAGAAATTTCACTAGCCAACAACAGTTTGTCGAAAGGAATTGGTGACGGTCGCAGCTTTGTTTCGGCAATTTACCTTATACTCGTCAGCGAGTCGCCTAAGCTCGATGACTTCGGTAGTAGGAAATGGTTTCTTCTGCGGTTTGCTCAGTCCTTTATCATCCAATATCCTTACGGTCCTACCTGACTTTTTACCCCTGCAAAGAATCAATCGTGGTTGTAGGACGTGAACGCTTTCTTTCTCATTGCATTCGTCGCGACAATTAGGATCGTCGTAGATGCTTTCTCGTTTCTTCCTATATCTCGAGTTCTGTCTTTGTTTCTTTTTTATCACTTACGATAGGCTAGGCCAAATTATTGTGCACATCTATACGTCGTTTTGTATATTCTGACCTGAAAGACATTCTCACGTCCGGTATTTCCTCCTCGCGCTCGTCACCCTCGGGCACCACTCCGTCGATCGTGTCCGTTCCAGTTCCTCCAACGAGGGGCTCCAGCTCCGATGCTTGCATCCCTGGGAAGAGTATCAAGGTTTCAATCACAAGGATAATTAAAATGATTCCTAACTGAATTTCGGATATTTTCTTAGTTCATTCATACGTTCAATCTTTCGATAAATGCATAAAATCGGCAGCCTTTTCGTAATAGTTGAGACTAAACATGATAGATGATTTTCGAATTTCAGACACAAAACATTTCACATATTCACTATAATGATGAAAATAGCAGAATGAAGATTTACCGTCGCGTTTGTGGTCGATGTCACCGGGTCGTTTCTTGTGAACCGGTGCAGGTCCTGTGGGAGCGATACCCTGCTTAAGAGCTCCCATGCTGAGAGACTTTCTAGGTGGCCCTGTCGTACCTGCTGGGAGTCCGGCGGCTGCAACGTCCGGGACCGCTTCGCCATTCGTCAGTTGAGATCTTCTAGGCCAGGCGAACTGCAAACGATATTCGGTACTAATCCGCGAGATCGCTTTGCTCAGTTGACTGGGTGGCAGCCCCGAGTGCGCTGTAACTTCCTGAAATCACAAATTTCATCCACTTTCATTCATTCAATTTAATAATTAGACGCGGAGTTCTATTGGAAATAATAGCTTTGCGATATCTCTAAATCGTGACTTCTCCAATTCTTCAGAAATAATTAGTTTCGCACATTCTATGCATTCTGTGTATTTTCTGATCAGCAGTTCACCAATAATCTTTTCCTCATCGAATTCTGTAATTTAATATCGATTGTACTAATTGTAAGAAGAAATTTCGGATAGAATTCGTTCAATCTCACAAATGAGATATACAATGAGAGCGTGTAAGAGCCGCGAGAAATAGTTGACAGCGTGCATTTGAAAAACGGGTCAAGCAAGAGAGAAGAAAAACTCGATGACGAAGAACTTGTTGACAAAGAACTTGACGAAATTGACTTGCAAGCTGCGCTCTGAGAAATCTCAAGTATTTGAACGTCTATTATTCATCGTGGTATACTTTTACAAACGCATCGTGCTTGTAATAAATATAAAATTCGGATATTTATTGAGTTTAATGTTGAACATTAAAAAATGAACTTTTATTTTAAAAAATACAAAAAAATATGTAAGTTCAATAAGTATTGTCTAATGATAAATGTACAGAAAGTTTCATTGAATCAAATCAGTAAATAATATAGTTCACTTCAAATAGTAATTCTAATTGACTCAATCTGTATAAATAAAAGTAAGCGCATCTTGCAATGAATAATTTTCCATCGACAAATTCGAACTCCGGAGAGAATTCGACATTTCATATGCGCCAACCTAATACATATTTCAATAACAAAACTACTATTGCCTGTGCACGGTTTTCCTTTTGATTGAAAACGCTATCGATCACGTGTTTACCGATTCTCTACTATAGGAATACGTGTTTTGGAGAACGTTTGCTTTGCGATCGATTTATCGACTCCACTCGTGGCCGGATTATCCTTACAGTGACTTTTCGATATAAGCACAAACCTCGGGCTTGTAAGTGTGCATTTATTCTACAGGCGAAACGCTTTCATCGAGCATCAAACGAAAGGGACCGCGAGTGAAGTAGAAAGGGTGTTTCATATTACTCAAGTGGTGAGGATGGTTCCTGTGTATAGAAAGTAAATCAATAAGGAGTATAATTTAAAATTACCCAGTGGTCATTGATTTCGATATAACGGGACAGAAAAGCATTTTAAATTGTTCAAATGTTCCGGAAATGGTACAGTTGTTCTGTTAACATGCCTGCATTGCGCTGCTATCACTTTCCAAGGATGTTAGAACTTACTTCACGTTTTCTTTGAACGGATTAGCAATTGTAATTCAAAAATCAATGCAAGTCACAACTTGGCCAAAAAGTGACTTACATCATTCAGACTTTTATCCCTTCATAAAGAATTCATACGTAGCATGGTTTGATGAAGTTATTATAGTACGTGATACATCTTATTGACTCACACTCTATAATTTGAGCTTGTATCGAGAAATCACTGTCTCTAAATTTTTATTTTCTTTGCATTACATACGTACCCGTACTTTGTCAGCTACGACGTTCGAATCCACGGCGTCGATGCCACCCCCATCGGCTGCCGTCATGAACTCGTGCGTCTTGTACGCAAGCTCCGGGCATTTCTTTCGCCTTGGCAATGGCGGTTCCAACGTGGGCCCTGAAACGAATCGTGATCGCTGCTTAAGATCCTACGCTCGCGATTTCCACGACCAATCGCGACCATGCCTTCACTCTCGACCGTATCTTAAAGCATCCAACTGCATCATATTCCCGTATTGTATCACCGTCGCGTATCACCATTGCGTACCGTAATTGCACTGATTAGAATTATACGTAATTTATTATTAATTTATTATACGTAATTGATTCGTAATTTGAAATGTTCGTCAGATACTTTGATCTGCAATACTTCAAAGACTTGCAATGATGCAACGCTTGGTCTCACAGTGATACGTGACGATGATAAGAGGATATGATATAAGTGGATACGCGCCTGTATACCAGGAAACACAAGGATCGATTCAATTTGGCTGCGTAGCTCTTCCATTTATCCTCGTTGCCTTCTTTTTGTATAGAAATTTTGTGCAATCGGAGGGAGTTGTGAGCGACGCTCGAGGCTTCGTTCGAGAGAGGAGGAAATCGATTTCTGTTAATAGAGGTAATTAAACGGCGGTCGAGAGCGTGAGCACGGTGTCACGGGAAACGAAGTTAAGTAGAAACGAGGCGAATATCTCGAAGCAAAAGCGTTACAAAAAACAAGCGAGAGGGAAGCTGTGACTATATTTTCGTGTATCCTCGCGAATAAATAAAGAGAAGCCTGTCGCAGAACGAAGAAAGAGAAGGATCCGTTTCTTATTTTATATTGAAGCACGCCAACCCACGTACGCAGAGTCCAGTTAAAATGTACGTATTTTCGGCAGCTACCCTAACAACGGCTGGAAGAGGTACACACACTCTCTTTTCTCGGGGCTAAAACGTTGCTGAAAGACGATTATTAGCGACAAAAGTGGACGAAAGTGGAGAGGCTCATAGTTCTGCAAACGTTGCTTTTGTGAGCTGCTAAAATAATGGTAACGGGATTTTGGTGTTGGTCTCGAGTTCCTCTCGACGATCTTCAATTGTCCCTTTTACTACTTTTAGCCTTGTTCAATAATTTATTTCGTTTGATTGATTTGTTTCTTTACAAAAAGTTTCCCTCTTATATCGCATTATTATTATGTATTACGTTTTGAAGTTTCTCAATATCTTTAATAGTCGTTTAGAAATATACGGAGCAGCATGAATACTATATTGCGCATTTAAAAGTTGAAATCAGTTTGAAAAATTTTCTTCAAAACTCGCTTCAATGGAATCATTTGCGTGTCGTCGAGAGGCTTGAAATGCGCAGCCAGAACGGCGATGCAAGTTCTTATTCTGTAAAGTTGTTGGACGTCGACGCGATTAGAAGCTTCGAGTTAGCTAGTGTAAAGAGAGAAAGGAGAGAGGACGTGCCGGAGACAGGTCGATTCTTCCGCGGTTGTGCAACTCCGTTATATCCGGTGGCCGTGTGCGACCGATTCACCACGACGACAAGATGGTTCCACTTTTAGAAAGAGCATTCTGTCTGCGGTTGGTCGATGCTAAACAGCGGCCAGTGACAACAATACAATGTGAATGAACGATCGATGCACAGCCTCTAGGATTCTAGCCACTATGCTCCTCTCCTTCTCTCATCTCGTGCCCGATCGTATATAAATGCGTATCCACTTGTATCTTATCTTTGTATCGTATCACCGTTGCACGTGTATCTCATTCATAATTCTTAGTACATATTATCCTATGCATACTACGTAACTTGCTACGTGTCGTAGAATATTGGATTGCCCAGAAAGTTCGTGCCGCTTTTTAGTAATCAGCATTAGAACGAAATTCAAAACGTAATAACTACGATTTTTGCTTTACTTTGTAATATTTACTTTATTAAATATGCGCATAATCTCACTAAATAATAAGTGTTTCGAACGATGCCTCAAATATCATCTTTTGGAATATTAAGGGGTGCGGCAGCGACCCGAAGGCAGGTTGCATACTTAATCGGCTATCGCATACCCTTATACATATACATATAATGAACACGTAAATTCGACATTCTGAATTTGTTTTCTTAATATAATTATACCATTTTATTAATGCTTTGAGGTTTTCAGTAAAGTTTTATACTTTACTTTGCAATGTAAGACAGTTTAAAAAGATGTTGTTGGTACAGAGTTTTAATTGAGAAATTCACTAGAAAGACTGATTTCAAAATTTTTTATATACGTGTGATTTGTTTTTAATTATCCTGATATGCACAGACCTGTCCTAATGCCGATTACCAAAAAGCGGCACCAACTTTCTGGACAATCCAATATACGTATGTATAATTGAACGTGATGTAAATGAAGTGAATGGGCAAATGAAAATTTATGATATGTTAATAAATGATTAAAGGAAAGTCTCTTGTCATGTTTAACAATGCTTTACAATTTAATCATGAACTTCTGGTTTATAATTTATACCTATCTTGTTTTCTTTTAGTATGCAAAATCTCAGATATTCTAAGCAATTCTAACCAGTGGGTTATATAAATATATTGTTCAAATTTTTGTATTATTAACTTCCAATCTACAGAATTGGTAATTTTATAGAATGGATTTTTAATTTAAATTATTATTTATTTAGTTTCAATTCTTTTACTTGAACGGTGATACGATAAAAGGGTATGATTTAAGTCCACACATGCTTTTAGAGCGAAATTATATCGTCCGCACGGTTGGGAATGTTGCGTCGCGATAATTGATTAACCATGCAATTATTTAAATGAGCTTGGTTATAGTAAACAGGGGCATAACGCGGCAAAACATGAAATCGGTTAGGTATTTAAAACGGTTAGTCGTCGAGCGGTCCTGTGCGGCCAATATAAATTCACTTTAATGTGGCTGGTTATTCGTGTTTACGCGTGGCTTACATGTCGGTGTGTGGGATGTAGATTCAGTTACGTTTATACAGTATGGTACAAGAGTACCTCATTTAATTTAAAAATTAAAAATATTGTTAGTGTTATATCGAATGCTTGAAATTTTGAAATGTAAAATTGTTATTATTACAAAACCACATTTGTGCACTGTGCTATTGAAATTGGAATACCATGTTCTTTGATAATAATTGTAGACAAGTCAAATTCGTTCAATGAGCCTTAGATTGAAAATCAAAAAAAAAAGTAGTACACATAGCTTATTGGATTGTCACCCTACCTTCTATATAGTATACATAGACATTTCGTCAATAGAGATAAATTATCTTTTTATAAATTAAGACATAATAGGAATGCATCTTTATTGGACGATATCAATTCATTTATTTCGATCTTTGTAAAATTCCTTTAACTATTTCGAGACCATTTACTGCTGCAGCTGTTCCTCCAATTTGTAAAAAGTTTTTTACCCAACTCATCAATGTAATATAATCATATTACGTTTATATCATTAGTTATCGCCACTAGGAACGAGAATCTAGTTACATACATATGCAAACGTGCGCAATGTCTGTGTATGTACGAGATGGGTGGAGAATCCAATGAGTTCCCTGTGCAATATAATTCATCTCTGAGTTTCCCGAGATCGAATTTCTCCACGGTAAAAATTGCAAAAGGTAACGACGATCTCCCCGGTGTGCAAGCGTGCATCTCGATTTTGACCAAAGCCAATCGCGCTGGAATAGATGCCGGTTTTGTGCTCCAATTGCGTAGCTGAATAGAGATCGCATACTACCGTCGCGTCATCGTCGACTCGACCATCCGTACGCGAAATGCTTCGTCTTTTATCGGCGTTATTAGATCGTGCGTCAGGATTAATTACAGAATGGTTGACAAGTTGTGGAAATAGCTTTTTCCGAAATGAGACGATCGCCCCGATACATCGCGCATGCGATTCGTAATTACAACAGTGAGACATGCTTTTTGTTCCATTCCTGAAGCACTTAATTTGGTCTGTGAATGACGTTATGCAGGCTTTCTGTTTAAAAGCAGGTGTGAAAGAGTTTTAGACAGTTTTACATTCATGATATAAAATTCAATGCCAAACAAGATGGCGATTATTTTCAACAATTGCTTTGAATAATCTTGATCGCTAGACTGCGGACTTTATGCATTTAAAAAAACATTGAATTTGGAGAAGGTATAAAGAATGCATGTATTGTATAAAAATATATAAAATGTCAAAAGTCGATTGTATATCACAATGCTTATAACAAGTTTCTCTTTGAATAGCATTTTTTTATATAAACGTTTCATTTTACACAAAAATCTGCAGTCTACTGTTGTCTCACTCTGTATTGGCACTAAACTAAATACATACAATCATACATCGGCCAGGCATGATCTAACGTAGAGATATAAAAAATCGAAGGCAAACGATCGATACCCGTACATAAAAGAACGTGCAACATGCATGTTACTAATCAATCGACGAACGAAAGTGCGGGGGTTGGGGGAAATGAATTCAAACTTTGAGATATTAAAGTGTGAATGATTATAAAGAGAAAGAAAAAAAAAATTCAGTGGAAATGAAAAATCACGGTAGGCATCAAAGAGGTGGTAGGTGGGGACACACGTTTAGACGTTGACACGCAACGGTTTGTCGTTTCAGCCACTCACGGCTTATTAAAAACGTGATGCGAAGTGGCTGGCGAAAATTTTCCATTCGTTCGCCGTTCGCTTTTTCTTTTAATTGGAATTCCATCAAGACCTGGCACGGTCTACCCGCAGTAACGTAATTGTTAGATAGATTTTCTCGGTCACTCGTTTTGTAGTTTCGACTCCGAGAAAAAACGGGTTGCCCTGGAAATCGCTGACAATATTTTTGTCAACGCTGCATCCTAGTTGTTACGCCAACAATACGAGTGAGCATTTGAAAAAATGCTGATTGAAAATTTGGTCATAGATGATACATTTACGTTAATTGCAACAGTGTTCCCAAGTTGCCAGGTAGTCCCGAAAAAACTGAAAGTATTTCCGTGAATATCGCGAAGCTGAAAAACCTATTAATTTTCCTTTTGTTTTTTGTATTCCTAAGCATCACTCGACTCGTTGGCAATGAATCAATTATCTCCGTCTCCTCGGGTTAACGTTTCCATTCCTTA